CACAAAAGGTGACCTTGTTTTGGGTACGACCCCTTTTTCCAACAAGCATTAGAGCGGGCTCTCTACCTCAGTGAAGTAATACAGAACATTATCTGATTATTAAAGCTGACAGGTTCAGTTTCTAATCCTCATCTCTAATGCATCAGGCTAAGACAGCGATCAGATTGATTAACTCAGACTCATTATCTTAGGCGTCACCTCCTCTGGTCACACCTTGAACTCGAGCACCAGCCCTACAGCAGCAGCAACATCGCTACGAGGCTTGATTAAGTCATCAAGTCTCAAGTTGATACTGATTTTGGTTTGTCTACTGAGCTGAATCAATCTATATAATGTCAGCCAAACCAAGGACAGGAGAGACAACAAAAGATATTGTAGGCAAACACAGTTCTTTCTATCTATTTGATCTGTCTGCCAGAGAGCATAATAACTGAATGCAGATCCAACACATGAGTTAAAACCCTCATTCTGGCATCAGAAAATGTCACAACGCACTTCAACACATTATAATTCTGAAAAAACCTATGATGCTGTAGGCTGTAACAGATAATGTATTTTCCACTGACAGGTATAATTCATTTTGTTCCTTTGAAAGCTTATAAGTGGTGGCGTTCTTATCAGTGTACCACAGTGTGTGTTTTCTCTAACTATAAACCCTTGCAGCCCATAAAACTGATAACAGGATGTTCAGCAAAAATGACATTAAATGACTTACATGAACTGTATTATGAGACTATTCACAGAGGCAATGATGTAACTGTAATTAGGAGTTATATAATGAGCGTTGGTGCTGCATAATTGTAATTTCTTAGTTAAACAAGTATATGACGGCCACTGTCTTTTAAAGACGATATCAGAACAGTGTCACTTGCATATAAAAATGTTGTGAGTGTAAGTCATTTATCAAAAATCCTGGCCAGTTAGAGTAAATGCTTACATAGATAATTCTATTTTAGTTTTGTGTCTTTTAGTATCTATAATGTTTTTCCCATTATTATGTTTGGTTCATAAATCTATTCTTCAGTATGTCTCTGTGTAACACCATACGTTTGTATGTGTGTTACAGCTTTCCATGCATTTAAATAGCTCATTACATAAGGTTATAAAGACAGCTTGCAGACCTTTTTTTATTTCTGCCACTGCACTGGAAATATGATCTTTCATTAGTACTATGCTACCCTCTCTGTTACGCACACACATACAGAAACCCAGTAGGATGTTGTAAAAGTAATACTGTCTTTTCAAATCAACTTCCAGCTCATGAAGCAACAAAAATGCAGTTTCACCTCTGATCCTGAATTCAAACATCTCTGTGTAAAGGCGTGATGTTGTAAAAGCTTAAGTAAAAAAATATGACACACACACACTAATTAAGCAGTGCAACAATAATGACAGAAGAATTAGACAAGGAATGGTGGCTCTCCTACTATTCGTGTTTAATCTCACACTAAATTTCACTAATTCATAAAAAGCATTTCCCAGTGTTCTGATTTTTTTTTTTTTAAACAGCAGCTGCAGCGCCTAAAGACCTGTGAGCTCATCAGTGTTGAGTAATTGCTCTTACCAGCGAGTATTTAATAATGGAGTTCATTCAGCCACTATACCTTTATTCACATTCATTTTGGTGCAAACTCTGATTTGCTACCATCTCTCCCAAAACTTCAGGGTGGACCCTACATGTTCCTTGTTGTAGGGCCAATGAGAGCTAATTTTAGGCAAACCAGTATTTTGCAGTGACTAAAATGATTCTCTTTTACAGGATGACAGCTTTGGTAACAATGAGAAATCCTGCAAACAGCAATTAATTAGTCAGCTTATTAAAAGAGACCCTTTTTAAGGGAGCATTTTTTGCGAAGGGTTGTTATTGCTCAGCTCATGGTGGGCAGATATTGGCAAATGGCAGCAGATTTGTATAATTATACAGAAAACAGGAAGTTTAATTTAAGATCACTTTAATAGCCAAGACCTGCAAGTTGTTATTGTGTCATCGCTCCCCACTGAAGGTTTTTCTTGCTGAGATTTCACTGATAGCTTGAGGCTTTTAAGAGAAAGTGGTACACTTTATTTTAATATGAAACAATGAGAATGACATGTTATTGCTTGTGATGTGAATGTTATGGTCACACTCACACTCAACTGAGCACAGAAATAGTACTGGGAAATATAAAATAATTGCAATGTTATTCACTCAACTGGCCGAATCCCTTTGAGGTTTGTGATTGGCTCCCATAATATCAGGGTGCGAGGTGTTTCTATTAAGTCATTGCTGGAATTGAAGCAAACAATGACCACCACACTTACCATATCCATCCTATAATTATGAGGCACAGTACTAGTTATCTTGCTGTGTGCTTCAGATTTCAGCATTAAAGGCTTGTGCAGATAGTTTCTGTCCGGCTTGCCTCAGGTATGCAACACTTAATTAAAAAAGGTTTGTCTAATGTAAAAATGACTACTAACAGATGGTTTGTACAAATGATAACACAACTGAGGCAATGTATTATATATGAATTGGCGCTGAGGCACTTTGATACGCATAATGTTCTTCCACTTAGAACTAATAAGAGTGATAGCATACTGTATACCCTCATGTAACAAACCTCTACCATTACAATATATACTTGCAATTAAAGTTCAGGCTGTGGACAGACTGTGGCTTAAACATAAGCAGAATGTACTTGCTTTAACAAAATCCTCTAAAAAAGTACATTTTCCTTATGGAAAAAGGTCTAACTCGCTGACTTGCTTTTAAGATGACAGGGTGGCTGGTTTGGCTGCATCCCAGGCAATAAGCCTTGAGCTTTCTACGGGCTCTCAAGTCAGCATAGAAAACCAATGAACTGACTTGTTTAAACATTTATGAGAACCTGAGGGTGGAATTTGCAAACCAAATGGCAACACGTTGAAACAGAGCTCGCTCCTTCACTCACTGATAATGCACTTGAAGGATCAGTTTCCCCAGGAAGTAGAGGGAAGTATCACTGTGTTTAAAGCCTGGATTTCTGTAAAAGGCAACAGAAGGAAGGTGATTCCAGTGCTGAACTGTAACATGTACCTGGGACAACCGGGCCAGGTCTCCTACACAAATGACACTGTTTGGGCTTTTTCTAATAGTGTTGGCCAACATATTATTATTGTTGTTATTATAGGCAGAATACAATTAGCATCCCTTAGAGGTTGTTGTTGATTTAGCTTATCGTCCGATTTTCTGTATCGATTCTCTTGCTGAGCAATTTTATGTGTGGAAAAAAAATAATGTGCCAACACAGTTTTTCAGCGTCAATGCAACTGTTTTATTATCTCTGACTCTGAGTGAAAAAACAGAGTAAAAAAAAAGGCCTCCATGTAACTCAAGTATGCAAAAGCTCCACTGTTTAACCGCTGTTTAATTTGGACCCGGGACTCAGTTCTCATCCCTACTGTTTGTACAGCATTCAGGTTTTCTTCATCAAAGAAAAAAACCTAGTAAGCGTACCTGCAAGGTGCTAATTTTATTATAACAGACAATATTTACCCTGCTGTGAAGCAGTGGAACTCGTGCATAGAGAGTTAACGTTGCTGGTGTTTCCAGCCTTACTTGAAAAGATCAATTTAGCCACGCTTTGGACTGTTTTTTTCTCCTCCATGACTCCTTGCTGCAAGTTTCCAGCAGAGTTTGACGTCATTGTTTTGCAATAGACAACTGTCAGAAACATATGCCAGCATCAATAAAAGGAATTGATAAGCTCGAAGACATATGGTTATGATTGAACTGGACAATTTGGAACTAGTTCTCAACTGGAACCATAGACTACAGACTGTATATAAAGACACACACACCATCCGTACTGTACACACTTATCCTGACCTACTTACAGCCCCAGATGAGCAGGAACATTTATGTTCATGTAAATAATAAAACAGTACGGGTTGGTTACAGGAGCTGCAGTGAACAAACTCCACCCTCAAACTGTTATTTTTACCTTAATTTTTACCCTGACCAACCCTGTCCTCTGTCTCTCTCTCTCTCTCTTTCTCTCTCTTTCTTTCTCTCTCTCTTTCTCTCTCCAGTGCCAACTCAATTAACCTCCCACACAACAAAGAGGTCACAAAAATAGCTGCCATCAGACTGACCTCACTGTATGTTTGTGTGTATTGTTTTCTAAGAGGGCAGCAACAAAACCAAAAAATGAAAATATTGTACATAAAAGGCATAATCATAACACAAGCTGTGCTAACTTTAAAGTTTATGTGTAAAAACCTTAATTAATTAGCTAATATGAATTTATTTTTGACTGTCAGGTTGAAAACTACACTGCTAAATGATAATTGCAAAGAGTTTTTGAAATGCTTCTCTATAGGCTATAATTGACTTACTGTTTAACAAATCACACTTAACGTTTTATTATGTATCACAGCAATTTCTTAAAATGTTCACTCCATTATTTTAGATTTGCATATATAATTATGTGTTCCAAATGAAAAAAGTGAGGAGATATGGTTCTTGCAGCTACCATGTTTGTTTAGAAGAAATAATTAGTAGTAGTAGTAGTAGTAGTTGCAACTTGGGAAGTGAACATCTTTTTTTTGTGCAAAGGACAAAATATTTTCTGATCCAAAGGGGCAAAAGAGTCTTGAAGCATTCTGGAAACCTTTAGATTAGATTAGATCAGATATTCCTTTATTTGTCCCACAATGGGGAAATTCCAAAATCCAAAAACACCTCCAAACCGACAGGCAGTGTTGTTGAACAAGCTCATGGGTTTTTGAAAGATCACTACAGATTAGCGTTTTGGGAAAATGCTTAGATGCTTAGCTCTCTGAATCTAATGTCCTGATAAGACACGAGAGGCACAATCTGACCTACATGAATTCTAGGAATTTCATAAATCACTAATACTGTAATTCACAGACACTCAGTCACAACTGATCCAGGAGTCTAACATCTTCTATCTAAATCTAAAGTTTTATCCAGTTCTGCTCCATCATTAACTGCAATCATGTTTAGGCAGTGAACTCACCAGTATGGGGAAGCCAGTCAGGAAGTCGTAGATGAAGACAATACCGCTGATCAGGTAGGTGATCTGCAGTGACGTCTTGAGAGGCTCAGATCCATCGATGGATGATCTGCGCTTCCCCTGGGCATCCTCCACCACTATGGTGGGGACGTTGAACTTGTTCTTGTCGGCATTGTGGCCCGCCTGAATGGAGAAGGTCTGGAAGAGAGCAATGCCGATGCAGATCACACCCATGGCCACGCTGCCGCCGATTAGCAGCAGAAAGCACACGCCAAAGCCAAGACCGATCTCCGTCACAATGAATCGGCAGTCAGAGGTGTAGAAGCGGTCAATGGTGTCATGCCAGCCCACTGCTGGAAGCGTGGACAGGATGAAGGAGACCATCCAGATGCCCATCACAGTATGCACTGCCTGCTTCTTGGTGTTACTCAACCTGGAAGCAGAACCACAGATTTTAGCATAAAGTAACCATAAATGCTGTCAGGCCTTCAAGAGAAAAGGGCTTTGTTCTCTCTGCTGTGGATCTGCTGTAGCTGTCCTAAACTGATGCATTGTGCACTGTACACAATACAACTTCTGCTACAGGCAAAACATTTAACAATCCCCAAAACAGACAATAAGTAAAACCTGTAAAATAGACTACATTAGAAGATAAAGGTGGGCTCCTAATACAGAAGCAATTACAGCACACTGCGTGCCACCAACTCACACCACTCACCTGTGTGTGAACTCTCTGTGTTGCATAAAATAATTCAAATGGGCACTAATGAGATGTCTGACAGTACAATTATATTTTATATGGAGGAGACTGATGGTGGAGAAACATGTCTGACTGAGAAACTCAGTGGGAAAGAACCTTTGTACGACTACACCTACACTCTGGCAAAATGCTGTAAATGCCACAAAATGGCAGATCTGCACCTGGGACATATAAGCTGAAAAAAGCACTATCTCACACACAGTCATCACGTAGATAAACTGGAGTTGAATGGAGGGAAATCAATGCTTTGTTGATGGCTAAAGATTGCTTTTTACGTTCCTCGGTCTATTTGTCATCTAGGTCTATTTCAGCATGAAGGGATTTCTATTTCCTCTCACCTCCAAGTAATTGTTACAGTCGAGCAATTTGCTGAATGTGTTTGTGTCCTCTGGCGGTGTGGCACTTTTCAAGGTTTGCCATAGCACATGTTCATCTAAAAATATGGCAGGCCGTTACTGGTGTTCTCAAACTTGACGAAAGACTGTGCCATCCTGCCAAACCATTTACACCTCAAGTAGTGCTGAGCTGTTCAAGGCATCAACAACAAATCATACAAAGAGGCCAATTCTTTTTTTAGCTTGTAGCTGCACTGATACAGTCCATTACATGGCTTTTAAAACTTAGAGATTTTATTGTCACTACAGTCCATCCACAGTCCAATTGGTCTCCTTTAAAAGTGTATATAATAACCAGCAACATGTTGACAGAATGCTACAGTTTATGGAAATGTACCTCTCCTCCTTCATTTGTGTTGGAGAGGAATACAGTAAATTCTCTGTTGAGTGTCAGTGGTCCAGGGGCAGTTTTGGCAGGAAACCCAATCTGCCTCTCACAAGAGAGACGGAGCACATGTCGCCTATCCTCTTCTTCCTCTCATTAAAACCCTCTGGAGGAGCACTGGCTAGATTTAGAGTGTAACTCCTTACATACAAAATGAGTCAAATATATAGTTAAAAATAAATATCTGTAACTAGTAATGCACCAGCATACATGCACTGACACAATATGAGTGGCACCGAGGGGACAGCTGTAGCATCTATCTTTGCACTATGGCTTTGTGCAAAGACAAGTAGGTCTTGTTGTCACTGTGAGTAATTATGCTAGCCTTTCCTGAATATGCCTGGGGTACATATGATGGGGAGGTTACGTCACCAAGCTGCTTGAATCTATTACCAGAGAGAGAGCGTTGCGAGAGAAAAAGCTCCTAAGAGATAGTGAGCGCAGGGTGATGAGAACAGCTGCCGAAGTACAAGGTTGGAATTCATAATTCAGGCCTTCGGTGTGTGTTAATGTCAGAGACAAGGCAGCCATGCTGCCTCAGCAGGGCAAAACGTGGAGCGATTTAAATGAAAGATGAACAGCAATTACATGGTGCATCGCCTGAGCTATCACTCCACTCCATATCGTTGTTAAAAGTGACTTGAAAACAAGAAGAGGAGATGCTGAGAGGAAAGTCAGTGTTTCCAGAAAGGAGAGAATATAGTCAGATGAGAGCGCGAACAGACGAGGGAGATAAAAGCATTGGTGTAAAGCCTGATATCTCTGTGAGGGCATCAGCCAATAATGACAGCTGCACAAGCAATATAGATAGCAAGATTGAGCATAGATTTAAAAGGAAGTTTGCATATCTTATTTGAACGTCTGCTTATCTGCAAAATTGGCCAAGCAGACTGCAGGCTGAGCACTGCAGGCCTGATGCCACAGGAAGTACAATCACTCTTTGTTTTTCAGCAGGGGGGAGGAAGAGCAAGGCAACAGAATACTGATCTTCACCACATGTACCGCAGCACAAATTTCTGCACCATTTCAATAAACCCACATAGCAGCTTGTTTGTAATGTATTGTGCAAAAATGAATGCCGATTTCATATGTGCTCTGGCTGTATTCGCCAGTTTTTCTCTAGAAATGCATTCATCTGCAAATGATTGCTCTGCGCTTTGTAACCAGAAAATAACAAATGAATAACATGAATAACAAAAAAACAAGACTTTTGAGGTGTGAGATCAAGGTGAGATGTCCTTAAATTGCCAACTACAAACTAGCACACTGATCATTGAATGTGGTCAGTATATTTGTAGGTTTGTTACTGTATAACTATCATTAATTATTATGTACAACTATCATTATCAGTTTTCATTGCAGATACAATACCTATCAAAGACATCATATAACAAATATATAACATACCATAACAAATCCCTGGTTTTGAAATCAGAAATTAGTGTAAAAATGTAGAAATCAAAGCAATCCAAATAGACTGATACTCCTTTGTGGTAATGATTTAAGATAAATACCACACAATAGTATTATTTGGTCATTAAATGTGTTTGTAAAAGTGTAATTAATAATTGCATTGTCATTACAACAGGTAATGTTAAAGCAGCACTTGTACATCCCTGAATACATACAGAAATAGCATCAAAATCTTGTTTTAAAGGAAGCAGCAATGTTGCTCAGAACATCTGATTACGTGTGAACAGCAGATGTCTTGGGAGTCCAACAAGACCAAAATGGTGTTACTGCAGCAGGGTGCTGACTGTTAATGTGAGCTGAACCTGATCTTTATTATTCAGTGTTACTTAGTAATATCACTTGTTGTGACGAGCTAAATGAAGCTGGAAGCTAGAGCTGGCAGATGCTCAGTCTGGAGGGTTTTACATGGTGTTACCCCAAATAACTGCAACCAGCAGATGTGTTGGCAGCAGAGATTTCACCTGATGCAGAGCATTCCTCCCAAAAACGGATGTAAACAGCCTGACAAGTGACACTAATCTAAACAGTGTCCCCGTCCCCTCTGAAGAATCTGCTCAGAAATGCAACGAGGGGCCCAAAACTTGCAGCTTAAATGTCAGAATGTTGTCTTTCGAGGTGGCTTTGGCAGATGTTGCATTTATGGAAAGCCTTGCAGGAGGTTATAATTTACGAAATCTTTTCTATTTTATTTTATATTGCTGAGAATATTAGAACAGATTATGGTTTAATGTAAAAAGGGCAAAGTACTGTAACCTGACCAGTTGTATGTTTGAAATGTGTGATAAAATGTGCTGACAAATCTTAAAGGGTTTGTACCCCTTAATTTATATATAAAACATATTTTCTCAGTTCCCAATAGTGGTACAATATGGTAAAAAAAAAAAAGACAGATGCGATATGATTTGTTGGGATCTGTACCAAACAGACATGTTTTCTTACACCTGGAGAACAAGATTTGTAGGTCAGGGAATCTCTGCAGCACTACAGTTCTTCATTATGATGCTATCCATCACACATTTGATCCAAAAATTGCAGCTTCTTGCAATCTGAATATATTGCACTTGGCCACATTGTAATTCCAATAGTATTGCAATTAATTGTGCAGCCATATTTCTAAGCTAGATATTGTATACTGATACCAGTGTCCTAAAAATGGTCCCACCTAAAATAAAATCTGAACAACCATAAACAGAACACATTTTAATAACAGAATCAGGTGTGTTACCTGTAGTTTACAGGCCAGCGTACCATCCACATGCGGTGATATGAGAGCGAGGTGACGGAGAAGCAGGTGACCAACGTGAGAGTGTAGAAGGTAGAGACAAACACCTTGCACAGACCCTCATTCCACTCGTAGTTGGAGTGCTGACGGCGCAGCGTTATGACACAGTACATGGTGATGGGGATGGCCATGTTGAGGATGTGCGTGCCCGCCAGCGTGCAGATGAGGAACTCCAGTGGTTTCCACTTTTTCTGCTTGGCGCTGACGCTAAGAATGCTCCAAGTGTTGGCCAGGATGGACACGCCTGAGCAAACCAGCCAAGCCAGCGTGTTGGCGTTGATGACGTCATCCTTCATGGTGGTTACCTCATCCACCATGTTGGAGTGGGGCAGGGCGGAGCCTCGGGGGCCGCAAGGAACTGTTGGCAAGAGCAGGTACACACGAGGAGAAGGAGGAGGTGGTGATGGGCAGGAGGGGATGCAGGGCGTCGGGCAAGGCAGGCATCCTATCTGGGTGGGCGTGCACTCTCCATGGGATGGGCACAGCAGGGAAAGGACATGGTAGTGGTGCGAGACAGTGGGATGTTAGAGGGGAAGGATGGAAGAGCCGAGCCAGTTCCCTTACAAGCCTAAGGCTGGAGAGGGGGAGAGAGAAAAGAGAGAGGCACAGGGATCAGAGACAGAGGGAGTGAGGATGTAAAGTAAGACAGAACAGTAATCAATCTGCAGGCCTGCTAATGGTCCCGACCGTACAGTGGGAAACAAATATCAAATAGTGGCATAATGAGACCTGACACATAAAAACAAGTCATACTAGTCATACCTACAGGAGAAGGAGAAACTATCAGACAATAATATCATCATAATATCAATCATAACAATAAAATGCAGTCCTGTGTGATTGTCCTGAAATAAATACCATTTTGTGAAGCTTAGTTTACAGTTAGTGCAAAAACAATTATTTAATTATCAAGTAATTAATAAGAAATATTAGGTGATAATAATTTTATAATCATTCATCAAGAAAAAAACACAAAACATCCACTGGTTCCAGCGTCTAAAATGTAAAGAGTTAGTTGTTTAGTTGTTGTGATGGGCATTTTTTAAATGTTTATTATATGTATATATATACAAAATGTATAGACTAAATGATTAATCCTGACTAAAAATTATCAATTTGTTAACCCTTAAAAGAAAATATTTGTGATTTGCAATCCTATTTTTAGTGTGGCTGTATAGGGCTTCACTATATTGTAAGGTGTTCCTGTCAGTTTTCCCCACCCCACAGCCCCTTGAAAAAAGATGACATAACAAAACTAAATCTCATACATCGTATTTTGTTACGAGGAGCCATCGGAAAAACACGCACAGAAAATAGCTCAATACAGTTTTGCTTCTTTTTTAGGGCCATTTCCAGCATAGCACAGCTCTGGCTAGAGAAGCATTAGGAGAGGATGACTTTGGTTCCCCCACTGTGGAGTGAAAAATGCTTGGCACAGCTGGAGCGTGTTGTCACATCTATTTCCTGTCTTTTGGCTTGTCCAAACACTGATGTGCTGTAGGCAAGACCCCTGAGAGGGGGCACTGGAAATGACAAGAACCACGTCATCATCACCCTGCTCTCACTTCCACTGATCTAATCCTCCTCTCTCACTCTTCCCTCAAATGGCACCCTAAACACGTGTCAGCCAATCAGATTCAGTCCTGTCTTTTATGGTTATGAAGCAGAATGGTTACATGCTCCTCAGGATCTGTGTAACCATATAAATCAGGAGATGGTCCTGTAAACGCATCATGTGACTTTACTAGTGTATTGGGCCAGTGTGGGAGAGCCACATCGATTAGGCTCCTCTGTCCAAGCAAAATGTGGAACAGTTTGTTACAAACAGTTTTGTTGGTACGAAAAAGATACTACATCAACACACCTAATAATGGAAATGATGCCAAAATGACATCTGAGAGGCAGCAGTGTCTCGTTCTTGGAAAGCTGAGAATAACAAAACAAACAGAGGGCAAACCACAATCTGGAGCGACTGTTACATTCAGCTTGTTTTCAACTTCCAGTAACCCCATGCTAAAGCTGAGTCCATCACACTTAGCTGAAGTAAGGGCCTACACGTGGATTTTCATTACGATCTCCCTGCCGCCAAAACAGGTTGCCAACTCTGTCTAATTAACAAGCTACTCATGGTCCATGTGATTTCTGTTGTTCAACTGGAGTACTGCAGTGTGAATCTCAACAAAAGCAAACGCAAAAAAAAGATAATAACGAAGCAACTATTCCACTAGTGACGATCAAAGAAAACATACGGTGTTAAAAAAGCGTTATCACACCCTCAAAAAACATTAAGAAAAAACACATTAAACCAGGCTGTGATATGAAAAGAATGATTCATAGCTTTGATCCAGGAATCCCCAGGTGGTTGGGATGGACTGAGCCGCAGTCTGTCTGCTGACTGTGGACTGAAGCCTCAGCTGAGTCTAACACAGCAACCGTACCGCACAATCCACCACAGCTTGAACCAAATCCCACCCAAGCCCAACTGAACAGGTGCAGGAAAATACGGAAAACCAAGTGTACATTTGTGAAGTTTTTTTTGCAGGCAGTGAAAGAACAGTAGGGTTTCTTAAAGGTGGGGTAAGCGATTAAAGTTAATGCGATTAAATCATATAATAATGTTTTTTTTTATTATTCTGCAAATATATGCCAGCTTTCCACTCTGTGTGTGTGCTGAAAAAAAATTGGTGGCCCTGGCTCTGTAAATGGGAAACAAACACGTGGCTCACAACAGTAACTTTTTATTCCAGCCATTCCAGCCAGGATTTGTGTGTCAGGTAGCGTTAAATGACTCGCCCACGGACATTCCACTTGCTGTCTATTTTGCCGAGACATGCGGTTGTTGTGATGTTAGTAGAGGGAGAATTTCGAGTATTGCTGTCTGGAGCTGGTGTGCTCACAATGGGAAACCGTCTCGTCCTCTCTGCGTGTTAGTTGCAGTCTGTAACAACGGTTTGCTAACCCACAACATAGCTATGGTTTGTTCGCTCTGTTTGCATTACTGGCTGCGTTGTTGCTGGCTCTATATCATGGTATTGGATTTCTCCAGAATCGCTTACACCGACTGTACTAAGGAGTAAAGTTTGATCCCATTTTCAATTAGAACAAACCTCGCCGTTATGTAGTGAAGAAGTATTTGTGCCAGTGGATCCCTGCCTCCCTCACTGCCTTTGATATTATTTAATAAAAGATAATTTCACCTTCTCGCATATCTCTCAACCCCTGAATCACAGACAGCTCCTGCCAGCACCTGAGTTTTTCTCTGTCGATTACCCCACCCCTCTTCTCCATCTTCCCCACAGTGCTAATGTGCTTCACTGTGTCACCCTGACCCTTTCCTTTTAATGCATGAACTGTATCTCTTCCGTCCAGGTAACCCTTAAGTGAATTTGTGAAATAAATTCACTTAGCTCCTGTGTGTTATTCTCCAGTCACAGAGCCACAGATCTGCTGAAATGGACATTGAATTCTAACCAACCCTTTCAACACTTTTTCCATCCAACTCCTTCACATGTCCGCACAAATGTGGACACCGGGCATAAGCATAATGGCTGCAAGTAGTCATCACGTGACTAGCTGTATGTGAAAGGGGTCGCTCACCGTGATGAACCCACAGAGACTCATCAGGTCCCCTCGACTGTACAGGCTTTATAGCAACTTTCAACTCACTGTTTTGGTCTTCAACTTTTCTGTTTTGGGTCACTGTCATCACTCCCATAATGTCAGTGCACTGCTGCAGGCAGCAGTTTTCAGTGGTGGAATGTACATTTATTTAAGTACTGTACAAATTTGAGGTACTTTTCTTTTTATGCCACTTTCTACTTGTACGCCACTACATTTCAGAGAGAAATATTATACTTTAGTACACCTTTAGTTACCTATCTTACATTTCTATTTTTGCATACAAACCTAGAAAGAGCTCATCAGATATTATGTCTGTATGTCAAGTAGAGCAGAAACGATTGGTCAATTAATCAATTTGTCAACGTGAGTAATGATGATCTAACAATATAACAGGCATTTTTCTGCATGGTAGTACATTTCCTTGATTATATCTACATACTGTAACTCACTTACTTCTTTTACTTTAAAGCCGCTGTGATGAACTTGTATTGCTTCACTGATTTCAAGCTGAATATGACTGAATCCAACCTAATGGCATGTATTAAGAATAACTATATAGAAATAGCCTATCTACTCACTGATGGTCTTCTTTGCTTATGTAGGTCATATAGAGGCATCACAGGAAGCAACAGTGTGGTAAAAGTACTTTTATTAGACTAATAAATCTGAATACTTCCTCCCACCACTAAGAAGCCACAATATTGGACTTGACTTACTAAGTAGCCAGAAATTGCTCTGTAACTTTGGTGAATGAATGAATAAATAAATAAATACATTTTATCTGCTGGCAACACAGGCAACTGTTTTCTAGCAAGTTCAATATCTCAAATGTATGAGGTGCCCCTGGACTTATTTTGAGTCATGCTGAATGCAGTTTTTGAAAGTCACGTGTTATTCTGGAATTGCTCAAAAAATGTCACTTGCAGCCACTGAGACACTAAAAGAGAAGACAATTTAGCAAAATGTGTGCTCCATTATCATAAGTCATGTTTCAACTTAGGCCCAACATACCAAAACAATTCCCCTTTCTACCAATCCAGCTGTGTTTGTAATTTACCAACGCAGGGAGGGAGCAGCAGAAAGCATACTCTAAGCCCTTCTGCTTGGGCGACTCAGGAGGATCCAGAGGGACAATGGCAGCTTTCAATTAATACAAGAAATTGCAATAAGGTCTAACAAGGATTTTTACAAGCAACTGCAGTTTTACCACCTCTGGGAACAGCTGGAGATACTGTGGAGACTTAAAACAATACATGGATAATATTTTTAACTGGTGATGTCAACTTCGATCCAACTTTTGCCTCCTTCTCATTTTGATCATTCAAAATGTATTGTAGTAGTCGTTAACATTCACTGCCGGTCTAAATGTTCACAAATAAGATGCGTTGAGGGGGATCATGTGTTGCTGTATATGATGCAAGGCTCCACTGACAATTCACAGACGTCTTCTAGATGTCTCTGAGCCTACGGTATGACGTTGATGCAGAGCATGAGCACAAGTCTCCAGCATCTTACCAATTCTGTTTAATCACATTTACGCTTGGTGATATTATTTGTCATTCTGACTAAAATTCAATTAAGCCAGCCTGTCTCCTCTATTAGAACCTAACCACACCAAAACATGCGAGAAAAGTCGATTAAAATGCACCTCGTCACTCTGCTGTGCTACCCTGCTTTTGAAATGATACTTTCACAGAGATCAGAAATGGAAATGCAGACACAGTTAACTATGTCTACAATGTGGGTAAACTGCAATACAACCAGAGGTACAGCACCAGCCTAGACTATGATTTAGATTTAGAGAATCTTATTTTATGGTATTAACATCCAATTTAGTTTGAGTGTTAAACTCCACCACATTCCTCTCTTGCGTAAGTTGGTTGGAAAAGCAAGAAAACTGGCGAGTGAAAGAAACCTATTGATACATACTTATCAACATACGAACACTAATTG